GTAAATTTTCCTTTTACTAAATTAGTATAAGAGAGCCCTTAGCAATTTTAAATTGTTGTAAGAAACCGCATTGTATTTAGGAAGATAATTTAAAAGAAAATGGTAAAGCGGAATTTAATTATTTCGACATTTAATTATGAAAGTCAAAAAACGAAACAGATTTTTGAATGATATATTTAAACGCAAGATTTATTCGTTAATAATTTAAAATTCTTTTACATATGAAGAAAGGAATCATTAATTATTCTTTTTTTTAAATTATCGCCTTAAAATTTTAATCGGCCTGGTGGACAATTGGCTAACGCCCTGGTCTTTGGTGCCACAAGCTTCAGACTCGAATCCTGGCGGTGGTATGGATGTTTGTTAGTAGTTCGGATTTCACGTTAAATTGTTGATTTCTGTCTAATTAGACAGGGACCAACAATTAATTAAATAGCCCAAAGTGTACACAAAATGACCAAACCTTAGAACTTTAAATACTAATTACCATTTACTTTAAACCGTTGGTCCCAGTTTAATACGACTGTAAGGCGTTGGGAGTAAGGCTGACTACCCTATTCTGTAAAAAGAAACCATCTTCTGTCTCGAAATCTGCCAGTAGGCGGACGGCCTTTGCCCATCATGGGCTGTAGTGCCATGGAGTTGGGGCCTGATGGCCGAGCGACTAGCTCTCTCTTGGTCGGTACCAAAGGTTTAAGGTTCGAATCCCGGCGGGGTCATGAATGTTTACAGTGGTTCGTAATCCCTTTTAAGTCTTATAGCGAGTCTATGCAGTCATAAGTCGAGTCTCCTGTGACCGTTGAGCGTCACAGGGCCCCATCTGACTTCTCACCCACATCATTCCCAAACTGTAAAGAAGCAACTCAACTCTAAGCACAGTGATGTGGTGTGGTGTGATGTGGTATAGTAGTAGTGCCAGGGAGTTAGTTAGTTTTTAGCATTTCTTAAACAACATGTGGGTGCAGTGCTATAGAATTAATTGCAAATAGAAATGTCCAAATGTGCTATTAATGGACTACAATTGTTATTAAAAAATATAGAAACAAATGGAAAAAACATACATCGAATTGATAAAAAAGAGTTAAATGTAAAAAAATTGGAGGAATATCATTAACGATGTAAATTATTGGGCAAGTTAAGAACTATGGAATTTCAAATAATACAATTAATAAGAAAGTATTTTTACAGCAAAATAATACTCTAAGAAACCTTTCGGAAAGTATACATCTCTTTTTTTAAAACTTGCAGCTCACGGTAGTTTTTTTTTCCCTTGAGTTATTGATTATCTCTAGTGTTTTTAATTTAAATTTCTAATAGAGCAATTTATCACGCTTGTCCTAGAAACGCGGAATTTCCAAAACACTTTTGATCGCTACACTTCAAAGAATAGAAGAAATATTTTCAGTAGCTTCTATATTCTTCTCCTTTTTCCTGGGAAAATGCAATTTAGAACAGAATTTTCACTGATAAAAATAGAAACTTTTCTTCATCTGATAAAGGTTTTTGCTTTTCTTCTGCATGCATCTACTCAAATTTAATTTCTCTGGGCATTATTTGAGAATGCATGCAAAATTGCAAAGAAATATTTTTAATCAATATTTTGATTTAATCAATCATTTTCGGAGAAAATGTAAATTTTATGGAAGTTGATAATAATTTAAAATAAGAGAAGCTGTATTATTAAATATTTCTTATTAAATATTTCTTTGACTAGAAATATATGAATAAAAATGCAATTGGGAATTATGAGTGCAAGTAAATTATATTGATATAATTTATGGTGTCATCTCCTTATGGCGCTTGATTTTCGACATGAAATAGTTCAAGTTAACGAAACAGTAAATTTTTAAATATATTTTGATTTTTTCAATTATCTCCCATTTTAAATGGCGCCCTGGTGGCCAAGTGGCTAGAGCTGTGGCCTTTGGTATCACAGGCTTCAGGTTCGAATCCTTGCGATGGCATGGATGTTGGTTAGCGGTTCGTAATCCACTTTAAACTGTAGGTCCCGGCCTAATTAGCCTAAAGTTCGCACATGATGACTGTAGAGCGACAAACCAAACCCATTTTAAATGAAAATAATAAAAATAAATTACCTGTTAAAAAGTTTCCAGTATAAAATTATTGTGGCTTATCGTAAATGAGGACATTTAATTAAGGTATTTGTTTCTCAAGAAATCATCTTTATCATGTTAGACATCCATTCTTCTTCAATGGTACAACATTCCCATGGTGGACCAAGGCAATCTGACTACTGGGAGAATTTGAGGCAGAAGATGTTTTCTTTTTACGGGGTAGGATTGTCAGCACTACGCTCTACGGTTATATTTAGATCGGGAGCTACGGCTTAAAGTGGATTCCAAACCATTACAAGTATCCATGGCAAGGCCAGGACGTGAACCCTGTGACACCCAACTCCAGAGAGCTAGTCACTCTGTTATCAGGTTCCATTAGAAATGCATTAGGGTTTTTACTTTTAACAACTATTTTAAAATCTCGATTCACCAAGAAAATTGTAACAACTGTAATTTTCGTATACCCAGAAAAATTAATGACTCCGGAAAACTAGTAATGTTTATTTCGATGATTTTTAATTAATTCTAAATTTGATTAAAAATTCATTGAAAATTTTTCTATTAGGAAGCTCAATAATTCTGAGAAGGGAGACTACAAAACTCTTTAAGATCCCGTGCTCAAATGGTTAAAATATATAGCAGACCATGTTTGGTGCACTTTGGTTAATGTTGAATGTATAAATCTGCTAAATAGATTAGCTCACAACAATGAAATTAAATGCCACGCAATAATAAACTTTTATCAAATAGTACTCGTATCTAAGAAATCCTGGAATGTAGTTACCTCTCGTACATTCATTGAAAAATATATTGTATGCAGGTTGATATTTTGCAGATGTTATAATTCTAACTTAGTACGCTAGAAAATTGTCGCTTGAACAGCTAGCAACTGCATCCGGATTCTTGACAAACAACTGTCTAGTATAAGAGTTGGAGTCACCTGAACAGCACAATATAGAGAAAAATGCATTATTTTTGTATGAGATTTCATAAACGTGCCAGACCTGTTTGAGCAGTTGTTGAATTGATAAAAAAGTATCATGAAATCATGATTGAAGCAGATGCAAGTATTGGACACGATATACAGTACTTTCAAACTATTATGAATCATCATAATTAAGAAATGAACTTCTTACGCAGACAGTTTATTAGAGAAAGGTAATAACATGGAATAATGGAAAGCAATTTTATAACATGAGGTACTGAAACAAATGCATTTTCCATTTAAGTATATTGCAATATTGGCTTTAATCTTAATAGAGAATTCAATTCAATGCTCTCTAAAATTTATCTGATTGCAAAAACTTATTACATTAAAACACACTATTCAACAAAGACCAAAATTCCACTATCTAAAAAGGTTTTTTTTTTTTTTTTTTTATCTCTTCACTGAAAGCGTAGAGGTATTTTTCCCAAATGCCTAACATCCCCATTCAACCATGTTTATATTTTGTTCCAGCCTCGATACTAATGCCTTCCTTTCGTCCATTACTTCTCCGATACCGGCCAAACAATCCAATCGAGCAAGGCAGAGATCCCGGGCGTTATCGCTCCCCCCGTTGCAGTTACAGTTTCCCCACACAAAAGGCGTTGCCGAAACTTCGGAAATGGCTATGCATCAGGTGGTCTCGGATCGATAGGGAAGCACCTGGGGTGCTTCGGGTGACGTCAGGGGGGTGTTCTTCCCCGAAAACGATTTCGAAGAGTATTTTCTTTAGAGAATTTCGCCTTTTGATCCTTTCCGAGGAATGACCAGCAATAAAGGCCGATGTTTAAGAATTCTTTACTGCCCAGAAGAAAGTGAGAAACAATGTAGAGGAATGATTCTTTCAAAAGGTCCATGAACCCATTGGGAATCGTGGACAAATGGATAGATTTTAACACACAATGTTAGTTTCAAAAGCATTGTATTTGTATTCCTTAGTAGATTTGATATAAATGTTCCAAAACTAATTTTATACTGTAGCATCATTTTTTAAATGATGCGACTGTATTTTTTCAACAAATTTTTATTATTTAAAATTATAAAAACGCTTTCCATCTACATTCCTTACAGTCTGTAATTTTTTTCAGCAAATTTTATTTCATAAATTATTTTTTTCATATTTAATTTTTTTCATCATAATCATCATTTTTTTTCATCGTAATTATCACTTTTTTATCAAATTTTATTTCAACAAATATTTTTTTCATCAAATTTTCACATTTTTCACACAATCCTCATTTTTTTTTTCATCAAATTTTCCTTTTATTTCATCATAATCATCATTTTTCCATCAAATTTTATTTCATCAATTATTTTATTTTTCATCAAATTTCATTTTTTTTTTTTTTCATCAAATTTTTATTTTTTTCGTCATAATCATAATTTTTTTCGTCAAATTTTATTTTATTTTTCATAACTTGCTTTCATAGTTTATTTCAAACTTCTAGAATTTGAATTTTTAAATCACTAAACTCATTGACTAATTTATAATGGGAGTGCTATTCTGGTAAGTCAACGTTGGTCCCTTTTGTCACTGTGTCCAGTATTGGTTTTGATTGATACTGTGGTAAATTTTTGTCCTTTCTATCAAAGACCAATCCGTGAATTAGTATTCATGGAATTCGTATGTGTCTAGATCCACCACTTCAAACTTAGTAGTGAAATTGCAAGCATATGTTTAATATTAATGCCATCGGCATCATCCAATTCATTTATCTAAGCTTAGCTTGAAAAATAAAATTTATTTGAAAATTTTGTTTTAATTTTACTTCAAGAAAAATAATTCAGGAGCTTAAAACTATAATAATTCAAAGCTTTACACTATAAAAAATGTTATTTATTATTATTCTTTTTCACTGTCAAGCCATTATCGTTCACTTTCAGCAAAAAGTGTTAATGTTTATCAATTTATATATATATATATATATATATTGTAAGCCAACGGCCGTACCATGCTGAATATACCGGTTCTCGTTAGATCACCGAAGTTAAGCATCATTGGGCGCGGTCAGTACTTGGGTTGGTGACCACCTGGGAACACTGCGTGCCGTTGGCAAATTTGGGACCTGAATGGCCGAGTGTCTGGCGCTCGGTGCCACAGGTTTCGGGTTCGAATCCCGGCGGTGCCATGGATGTTTGTAGTGGTTCGGAATCCACTTTAAGCCGTAGGTCCCGGTCTTCTATGACTGTAAGAGCGCCACGGAGCAAAAGTCAGGCTTCTACCTACGGGTGCTCCATCACAACAGAAGCTGCTTCCTTCCCCTTCAATCATGAGTCCATATGGGCTCGTGGGCTTGGCCAGCCAAGTGGGATAAGAAACAACAACAACAACATATTGTAAGATATCTTTTTAATCACATAGACTGTCACTGTGTTCAGTATTGGTCTTGATTGATCAATGTTTGTCCTTTTTCGTCACCGATCACTCTGAATTGGTATCCAGGGATTTCAAATGTGGCTAGATCAACTACTTCAAATTTAGTGGTGAAATTTCAGGCATTGGGATTTTATGTTCGCAAACCCGCTGGAATAAGACTTTTCATCTGAAAGGTCAGTTTTTAAATTGATCTCTTTCAGTAAAGTAGCTTAAAAATCAAATTACCAGATGATTTCAGCCTCTTATTCATATTAAATCCTAAACTAAATTTAAATATTTAGCTGCCAGATTTTCAGTCAATTTCTAATTAAGATGGTATTGCGTTAACTCCATTTCAGACAAGTAAATTTGCTGTGTTAATTTTTAATCTTAATGACATTGGCCTAATTGAATTCATTTACTGTTTATTCATTTACTGTTATATTATTTTTTGTTTAAAAAATAAAATTTATTTGATAATTTTGTTTTAATTATAGTTTAAGAAACTAATTCAGGAATTTATTACAAATAGTTTTAAACCAGAGGTAGCCAATCCAATTAAAGTTGTTGTCCACTTTGCAAATGCATTATAACACCGCATTCGCATATAAAATTATATACCCCTCAACCCCCTCCTATTAAATTTAGACTCACTATAGATATATTTAGAGTGAAAAATTGAAACATAATGAGTTATCATTATGGTGTTTATTATTTTTCTTACATGTAAACATAGACAATATACTAATAATGGTACTAAAGGCCCATGGTAAATAAGTTAACACTAAAAATGAAATATAAAAAAATATATAAATGCAAATAAAGAAGAAATAAAAAAATGAAATTATTAAAAAATATTTATTTTACTAGTGCAATATTTGTTTCTCCACTCTTTCACTTAGCTTTTGCAAATCGATCTCAATTTGGATATTTGCACGTCGTAATTGGTGTTGCAGGTTTGTTTGAGCGTGTTTTGTGTTTGGTCAAATTCATTTTAGAAAAAAACTAAGTTGAACCAAAAGCTCTAACGACTTCAACTAAGAGTCTGGTTTTCTCTGCTATCAACAATCAATTGTGCGTGTCTAGGGAGGGTCACTGCGATCACTTAAAGTGAAACATAGAACCTATTATATTAGATGTTCCAAGATGCGCACGCATCAGAGTTCGCATAACATAATTTAATTATTCTGCTAACGCATAACTGTAAACTCATAAATAAAATAGACAATATCTGTCATATATTCACAAGAATATTATTTTAAAATCAAAGTTAATTATTTCTCATAATTTCGACAGTTGATTTTTGAATATATGGATGCACACATAATGTATTTTTTAATACATTGGTTTCACTACTTTGGCAAATATAAAATAAATATATTTTGTAAAAGTGAAATAAATCACATGGGCCGCAAAACTATTTAAAATAGGCCGCGGGTTGGCAAACCCTTGCTTTAAACTATAAAATGAAAAATATTATTTATTTCACTTTATTCTTTTTCGCTGTCAAGATGGGTTACTTTCCTCAAAGACTATTAACATGCTTATTAATTTACATTTTTTATAGGTTGCAAGATATCCTTTTAATCACAACATATAAAAATGGAAAAAAATAAATTTTAAATATTAAAATATTTTTTTGTTGTCACCTAGGCACTGAAAATTCTAAGCGTCAAAATATTATTTATTTGCTTACGTGCAGTCTATTTTGGAATATAAATGTGACATTTTTACCAGACACTTGGAAGGAAAAAATATGTCTAGCCAGTCTAGTAATGGAAAATATCGAATATTATTTTTTATTTTTACTTTTAAAACTGAAATGTGCCGCTTAAAATTGAATTTTAAAGCAGTGAACTGACTATAACAGACATGAATATTGTTAGGGAAACGTTGGGATTCCTTTGAACCGTCGGTATATGTTAGTATTATATTATAAAGTACTGTAAGTTTTGTGCTGAATCTTGGAATTCACATTCCATTAACATTTTTTATATATTTGAATCTTGCTTGAATTCAAATTTTTATCTTTTATATTTACTCCATTTACTTGCAAATGATGAAAGTAAATTTATTTTTCTTATTTTACACTTTTTGTCTCTTTTACTGCAATTAGAATGATTATTTTTTATTTACCAATATATAGTCTTGTATTGTTAGATATCCTTCTATATTACAGCACAAGAGAAAAATATGTCTTCCATGGAATGTTCTTAAGACTATGGCCTATTTTCACAACAAGTTACAAAAACAGAAAAGTAACCTTTCAACATCGTGACAATAACAAAAGTGTACGTTCCTTTTACTAAGACCTGGCGGTTATTCATCAACATTTGTCACCAAACGACTGGCAGTCCTCCCCATTTTTATTCTTATAGTCTGCCATCACTAGAAGAATCCTTGGCGATCAATTTGGGGTATTTGTATAACAAAGGTTTGATTTAATACTTAAAAAATACCACAGACATTTTGTCAAAGAGCACGTTGATTTTCCATTTTATTTTACTATATTTCAGATATGAACGCATTTGTTAAGATCAATGGTAACATTGATTTGGGATTTCCGAAAAAGATGTTATCTTTTCTAAATAAATTAATTTTTGTTACAGAATGTCACATTCTTCTTCACACAAGTACTGAAATGCAAAACAAAGAAAAATAACATTAAATACGTGCATAAATTTAACAATTCACATAATATTTGATTAAGGATTTGTAGTAATTAATGCAAGAGTTTTATAAGAATAAAATGGCTTCGCCGACTATAAGAATAACAGTGATGAGGACTGCCAGCAGTTTGATGGCAAACGTTGTTGAATAAATGCGGGGTTTTAGTAAAAAGAAGGCAACCGTTCGTCATTATCAGAAAGCTGCTTTGTTATTCTTCTGCTTTGTAACATGCAGTGCAAAAAGACCATTGATTTTAAATTTTTGTTTAAATGGTTCTTAGTTATCGTTTTACTAACTGAACTGTTTATATATGAAAACGTTTATTAAAAGATTCTAGATGTTGATTAAAAAAGGGCTATTCAAATCATTTTGTAGCTAAGACTTATAATTTGTTTTATTGACATAACGATAAAAGTTTAATATGTTTGCTTCATAAAAATATTTCACAAATTTTCAGAGTTCTGCTAACCAAAAAAGTCAAACAGAGCTGATTCTAGTTTTGCTTTATAAAAACAGAAAAACAATTTCTGAAGACTGATTTCAAATTGCTGATCCTTATAAAGTGTAAAATTTTGAAGTTTGGATTGAAATCTTAGAAACTTTCTTGTAATTTTTTGAACAGACTTAATTTACCATATTACCTAGTGGCGCCAGCAAATTAATAGGTTGCGCATGCCTCAGATAACCATAAATTTCTTGTTTCTAATCTTGTTAAACAAATAAGAGCACCAAACATTTAACATCTTCTTCGGAAAAAGTCATGGTCTTTGAAAAGTCATCTTCTTCTTCCAAAAGTCTTTTTATTAACACTTTAACCTCCAAGCAACACCTATTCTTTTCAGAAAATATCTCTTTATATGCTGATATGCATATTGGAAATGTTATTTCAATCATAATAAATTAGCAGAAGTGTTATTTAAATCAACACAAACACAATACGTCAATATCGCAGTGACATAAAAAATTTGCATTCAAAAATTGCATGTATTCTTTATGTACCGTTCTGACTTAAAATGTGGAAACATGCAGATAGCATTGTCAACTAGATATAAGCAGAAAACATTGTCTGCTAGACATATGCAGAAAGCATTACCTTGCCATTAAATAGTAGAAAAGATAAAATAATTTTTTTTTATTTATTATTATTATTATATTTTGAACATACATACATTTCTTAAACTGAATTCCAAAATAATATTTTTCACTTATTACAGATGAATATATGTTATAAATTCAGTTTGATTTTTATTTTTTCGAAATGCTATTATTATAATGCTACATTTTTGTACCATATTTATGATTTACTTGCACAAAAAAAATTGCGAAATATTTTAATTTGCATTACAAAAAAATACAGGTTTCCATATCCTGAAAATTTTGAATTGCAACACCAAACTAAATGTCTCTGTTTTAAAAACGTTTTTATAATTTTAATAATAAAAACGTGAGAATTTATGGGACATACAAAGTCAAATAAATGTTCTACAGTTGATATGTATATTGAAATCACATCTAACATTAAATATTTTATTTAAATAATGTATACTTTTCTATAACGTAATGAAATTCTACGTAAGTACATTTAAATTATTAATATTGTAATATAAGAAGAAAAGTAACGAATACTTACTTTTATGCAATCTAAATTTTTCTGTTTTAAAAACGGTTTTATAATTTTACTAATTAAACCGTCAGAATTTAGCAGAAATAGAAAGTAAAATAAATGTTTTATATTGAAACCATCCTATCATTAAATAATTTATTTAAAAAACGTATGCTTTTCTGTAACATCATTAAATTCTATATAATTACATTTAAATCAATAATATTGAAACATAAGAAGTAAACTAGCGCATTCTTATTTTTATACAATCAAAACACTTCTTAAATATATCGATGACCAGATGTAATTCCACCTTCTTTTTTGTGTTCTTCATAATATTTTTCTGTAATCCCAGAATCGCACCAGATTTAATCGAATAGCGCCTTTCTTTTAGGTCTTCTTATTAAGAGAATGGACAAAAAG